ACAATGCTGCAGCTTCCAGCTGTCAGGAATACCTACCCTTTCTCTTCCAAAGAAGTCCCTGATGTTAGTTAGACAAATGGATGGATTCCCATCAGAACTCTCCAGACCAATAAGGGCTTTGACCAGTGAATCTCAGTGTCTTGAGGGTGTAAGTCTCTGGGACCACAATCAAAGAAACTGAAGAAAAGGAAGCCATTCTTCACCCAGGAGGCTATATTCTTAGAACCCTATACCCTGAGCCCAAATGCTGAGGATACCCTGACCCCCAGCAATTCTTAGGAGTGATGCTTGAAGACTCACCTTTGAAATTCATAAGTGATGATTTTCTGATATTAAATATAAATCCACCAAAACAAGAGCTCTGAGATGCCTGCTCCAAGACTGGGCTTGCAAGAACACAGCACAGGCTGATCCTGGGAGGATTCCTGGATCATCATCTTGCATCATTCTCTGCCTCAGTTTCCCCTCTTCTCCCTTCTCTCTACCTCTGCTCTACTTCTGACACTCCTGCACACAATCAGCCCTTGGACCCACCGTCTGTCTCAGTCCCAACCCCATCTGCCTTTGGCCAGTAGAAAAGTTTCCGGCATTGACTTCGGTGATACCCACCCCCACAGGGCACAGCTGCAGAAAAAACGGCCCTAGGCAGGCCTCTGGGGACTCTTGAGGCTGTAGTGTGGGGGTGGGGGTGGGGAATGGGAGATTGACAGTGTTTTCTCTGACTGTCCAGATCATCTTAGCTCCTCCTCACCCCACCTCCCCAGCCTTAGGGGCAGGAAGATTGCAGTAGTAGAAAGGGAGGGAGATGAATTAGGGTTTCTGCATTCACTTCACCAGATGGAGCCTAGTGAATCTGAAATGACTAGAATTCAGACTCCCAGCCCAGGCTAGAGACAGTGGCTCTGTGTACCTACTAGAGAGGCAGAAGTGTTCGGGTGCCCTGAAAGACTCAGTCAGTGACACCACAATTTCCAGCTCCAGATGTTGCTGGGGCCTACAAACCCAGATTCTAAAGTCTTAGAGCAAAAAGAGACCTGAAGCTATGCTTTCTCCATTTTACAGGGGCAGAACCTGAGGCCCAGAGGCAGGATGAGACTTGCCCAAAGCCATACAGCAAGTCTGGGGTCGGAGAAGAAAGGCTATGAGCTGGAAACCTCTAGACTCACCCTCAGAACGGCAGGGCACTGGTGGGGGAGGAGGACTCCCAAATTAAAGCACCTGAATTGAACATGCTGGCACAGCCAGTTTCCTTCTGATATCTCTGTGTGTGGCTTAGATAGAATCCCCAGAGCACTGCTGGGATGAAACTGCAGATATTATCTGAACAGGAGTAGCTCAGATCCCCCATTTCACACAGTAGTTGTTCAGCTTCAGAAGAATGTTCTGCTGCCTCAGCATGGCATAGACAGAGCCAGCCTTACCTGAGTACTGAGAGCAGCCCTTTCCCACGCTCCCTGGTTCTCTGAGCAGAGGGAGTGTTCCCCTGCCCACTTCAGGGACCATCATTACCACTGCTTGTGCAGTATGTCTCTGGAGACTTCCACTCCCAAAAGACATGACCAGATCTAATATCCTGGCCACCTAGCCACCACTAAATGGTGGCCCAGAGGGGTAATGTGACTAGCCTGAGATTGCACAGTGATTTTCTGGCAGAATCCAGCTACTGAGCCTCAGTCTTGCCTCTGAACACTCAAGAGGCACAGTATGGGTCCAGGAGAGACTAAATGCAGTCGGGTGTCACTATGCCCTACAGTACTCTGGTTTCTTTCTCCCAGAAGCAGGGCTTTGGGCTGGGACCTGTGTTATGTGCTAGGAGCCAAACACCAGGAAAGGAAACGATGGGAGAAGAAACTCAATTTATGTAAATCAAATTTCCTTTGAAATTTTTGTTATTGAGAATAATGGGCCAAAACACTTGAGATTGTCTACTTCTGTCTTGGGCCAGAGACCTTGCTTCACTAAGGACACATCCCCACTCTTGGTTTCCCCTATCTTGCCTCCCAGTGCATAGCACTACTATGGCATTAGGATACAATGTTGGGGCTGCTACAGATCTGTGGGCCTGAGATCAACTCCCCCAGCCTAAATCCAGCCCATTTCTCTGCTCTTGCTTTGGGCAAAGTGAGGCCTATAGGACTCAAACTAGTTGATCAGTTCAGGAATGATCAGAGATGCTGCAGCTGTCACTGTCCTAACTCAGTGGGCTCTCTCTAATCCTCATTTTTAAAAAAAGAAAGAAAGAAAAAGGAAAGAAAGAAAAAAGTATCAGAGGGAAAGCAACTAACTGACCTGAGATTACACAGCAAGTTGGGGCACAAGAGATTTCTCCATGATTCCTGCACCTGGATCAGGAATCTGCCCTATCCTGCCCAGGTCTGTATGAGGGAGTTGAAGAAGATGGAGGGAGGGTGAAAAGAATTTAACGGGGTTTTTCAAGAACTATGTAAACCTCCTTATTAGAAGAGTGTTACCAGCACCTGGGATTAACTCTCTTGTAAACACTTAAAACAAGCAGCTCCTTCTTCTGGGGTAGCTGCCTCTCTGTGTGTCTAATGGTGAGAACAACCCCTGACTTGTGACCCCTTAAGCTTCTGTGAGATGAAGTTTTATGGATAGGGGATTATTACTATCAGTCCATTCCAGACTAATTCCAGACCTGTAAGATTGGATGCCAATGCCCAGTGGGAAAGCATTCAGGCTATCTAGGACTTCCAAGTCTAGGGACTCAGGACTCCCATAGGCACATAGCTTGCCCAATATTAGCTTTTCTCCATCCATTTCTATTCCCTCCATAACTCAAATTTTATAATCTCCTATAAGTCCCAGGACTCATTTACTCCCCATTATGCAGATAGAGAAACAGAGGGTTGAGGAACAAACGGAATATGGTTCTGAAGGAAGAAAGAGAGGTCTAGTGGCTCATGAAAGGCCTAGTTGGGAGAGGGAAGAAGCCCTCATAAAAACTGGACCTGGACACCCCTTTGACTACCAACATTAACAGCTTTGAAGCTTGCTCTTTTTTCCCAGCCACGGCCCAGGCTGTGCAGACAGGAAGAAGTGCCATTGCCCTTTCTTGAGCATGCAGACTTCACTCAAACACTTCTTTGAGGAGGGGGCATGGCTCTAGATTTCAAGCTTTGGACAGCCTAAGGTTCCCCCACCCCACCCAAGCCCCACCCAGTCCAGCTGCGCTGAAGAATGAAATGCTTTATTGATTAAACGATTATTCAGGCGATTGAACTAATCAAAGAGCCCATCGACCGCCATGAATTACATTCTTCAGAGACAGCTTGTTGGGACAGATAGTCCCAAGAACTGTGCAACTCCTCGCCCTGCCCCTTATATACCTCCAACCCATTTCTAACATGCACACACAACCCCTAGTCCCAGGCACAGGTCCTTCTGAGATTCCCATCTACTGAGAAGTCCATCACCAGGGGAAAAAAGGGCCTCTGGAAACTGAGGATGGAGAGGAGGGGCTTTTCAGGCTTCTTTTTCTGAGCCTTCATCCTGGGAATTCTCTTCCAGTTCCCCTGCCTTTTAGATCTCAATCCTTGCTTCTCTTCAGTCACAATTGCAGAAATACATTTATGCTCAGGAAGTTGTCCTAGGTTTGGGGTCTAAGTTTACCTTTCTCTGCCCTTTGAGCTGTATTTAGGGCTTGGGTGGAGGTAAGGGCTCACAGATGAAACAAGGATGGGAGAAGAGGCTTTCTTGCCAGGGCAAGAATGTGTTTGTGTGGGGGTTAGCACAGTGGTCTAGTGAGTGAAAGAGGCCCCATGCCTAACTTATGCTTCAGGGCAGATGGAGGCCTACTGTCCCTGCCACCTCTCTCAGATATAAACACACCCTGCTATACACTGCCTGGGCCTGTGGGCAGCACAATTGGCCGAGTGTCAGGAAGGCCTGTGTAAACGTAAGCACCAGAGATGAATGCCCATACCAGGAACACACATCCACCCACTTGTGCTCTCCTCCATTGGAGCGGTACCCACAGGATGAAATCTGAGGACACAATGTGTCTGTGTGCGCGCACACATACAAGACTCAGAGGCTTGTCTAGGTAAAACCAGAGTAGGCTGAGAGTCCCTAGAAATGTCACAACTATCCTATAGACTGTCTGCTCTCACTTGCAAGGTTGTACCTGCCACAGCAGTACTTTTTGTACAAATGGTAAGCTCAACAGTGCCCACATAGTGAGGCAGTACCCACATAGTGAGGCAGTGCACACTACACCCTACACACCCTGAATTCATACCTTCACTCCTTGTTCCATCTCCCAACAGAATTGAACCTGGGCCTGAATGCTTAGCAACACAGACCTCCATAAGCCCCAGATGTATGTCTGTGCTTGAGGCAGGCACTTTTGTGTTCATTGGTCTGTATACACTAGACAACTGTAGACATCCAAACATGGATAGGTCAATGCTGCCACCTCTTACTTACTTCCAAAATCACTTAGGATAGGACTGGTGAACACAGACCTTTAAAACAGTAGATGTACACTCAGAAACTTATTCCAATTATATAAATGACACTCCTAGACACACATTTTGAATACTCAAAAGAACATACAAATACTAACTCATACACACTGGTACACTTATGGGTATACAGATACATATGGGCACACAAACTTTTGGACACCAACTCAGACATTTTGAAAATATATATACAGAGACAACTTAATGCTACTCATGCACACACTAAGACTCTTATGTAAACACACAGACCTGAACTTGCAGACCCCTAGTTAGAAACCAGAATAAGCATTCAGAAACAGAGAAAAACACAGGCAAACACACAGACACTTGGGCTGATGTAGAAGTGTGCGAACAGACAGAAGAAAAGACATACAAACACAGGACAGATAGACATACAGTCAGAGTCTGAGTAAATGCGGCGCACCCCCTCCTCCTCCAGGGTCGCCCTGCCCGGGGGACCAGCGCCTGGCTGTGTCACTGGAGTTAGCATGCCTGGAGCCCGTATCGCAGTCCTACCTGTCCTGCTGGTCCGAGAAGTCGGGTAATTTTTCTCTAAATCCATTTTGATTTTTTTCAGGACTTGATGGAATGGACAGGGATAAAAAGTTTCCACTTTTTTTGTGCCTTTTTTTTTTTTTTTTTTTTTTTTTTTGTGCCAGGGGCCGCTCACAGGTCGGAATAATTCAAGCCTTCCGCTCCCCCGCCGAGCTGGGGTAGCTGATCACTGAGCTGAAACTAAACGTTTTAGGTGGAAAAAAAGCGTCCGAAGGCACCGTGAAATGATTAAGGAACTAAAGAGCTTCTCGCCATGTGAGATCATGTCCTGTTCTCGCCAACATCACAAGATGTCCCCAGACACGCCGCGCCCCCAGCGCGCTTCCCAGAACTGCCTGCCCGGAGCAGAGAAATGGTGTTGGCGCTGCGCGGCCCGGCCTGCACAGCGTGCCAGACGTGGCGGACCGGGCCGGGTCGGAGCAGAGCCGGAGGCCGGGGAGAACAGCAGCGCAGCCGCCTCGCGGTCCCAGACTTTTATAGGGGGTGGGGGGGAGGGAAGGAAGGCTTTAGACTGCGTCCGGCTGTAGCCCGCGCGCCTTCGGGAAGGGACAGACGGAAGCCTAGCCTGGATCTCTGGCCTCGCAGCCGCACCCTCTACCAAATCCTGCGCCTGGGGATCGCAGCCCTCTGCGCTGTGCACAGGGCCAGCGACCCATCCACGTGCAAACCCCACCTCATAGGAGGGAGCGGGCTGGGGTTTTGTTTCAAAAGAAATTGACCACTCTGCCAAGCAGATGCTTTTGATGAGGGTGCAAAGGCTAGCAGAGTTTCGGACAGAGAGGGACATTTCAATTTCCTCAGATTCACCTCTAGGGCGGCGCCCGCCTCCAGGGTTCCCAGCCACCCCGCCCCCACCCCGATTTGCAGTTTCGAAGCTTTTGTAGGGCTCCTGACTCAAGGGCAGCGCCAGGTCCCTAAAGCCACCAGGTCCCATTCAGCCTCCTGGTCCCAGAACCCTTCCCTATACCATGTCCCATTCTAGCCCGGAGCATAGAGGATAAGCTGTGAAATGCCGGAGATAAAATCCAGGCTTCCGCTTTGGAGCAGCAGGGCAAAGCAGAACATTTCAGTAGGATCTGAAGATTGGCCAGAGTTCCGGACACCTTACCCCGGCCCGTGAATGGAATCCCATTGCCCTCAAGCCCCGAGGCGTTGTTGAGTGCCCGAGCCCCAGGACTTGATTCCACGGGGGAAATCAGATCCAGAGAGGCCAGGCAGAGGTGTGGCGTGTCCAGCCCGCTTTCCTCAGCCCAGGCTCAAGTTTCCCCTCCCGGTGCCCCTCCCCAGTCCAGCCGCTGGGCCTAGCCGGAGGAAGCCTGTGGGGCCCCGCTGCGGGGTGGTCGCAGGGGTAAGGTTCTCCAGGGCGGGAGAAGGCTTCGCAGGAGGACTCTTGGCCCGGCCGGACAATGGCAGTTTCAGAAAGTGAATCGTCCCCAGCGAAACTGTTATTTGTTTTTCGGAGGGGGGTGGTCACGAGGCTGGGCTAAACCTAAGGGGGATGAGCCTAGAGCTGGGGGGAAGGGGGGCCCCGGGCGGGAACCGGACATCGCATAGCCACTGAGCAGATTTCGCCACAATCGGAAATGTGGCTGTGGATTCCCGGGCGGCCCCCCCACCAAGTGGTCTGCGCATTCCCCCTGCGCCGCCTCCTCCCTGCAGCCTGAGGGTGCGGGTCCCTACCCGGCGATTTGATTTTTGGCCATCTCGAAGTGCTCGATTCTTTCCCTAGGCAGCCAGGTCCCAGCCCCGGCTTCCCGCCCTCCCGCCTCGCCTGCGCCGGGTGGCAGAGCCTGGGAGGAGCGGCCTGTCCGCGCCCGGAGATCAAAAGCCCTCCTGGAACTGACATCTCAGCCCAGGCTGGGGGCGGGAGTTGTTTGTGTGTATGTGTGTGTGTGTTATTTTTTTCCCCTACATTTAAGGGGTTTGTTTTATTTTTGTTTGTTTTTCCTTGAGTTTTCTTTTCATCTACAAAAGAGTCTTTTGTTTCGCGTGATTTGCGTGTTGTTTTTCCATGGAACTGATTGTAGTGGGTTTTGCTTTGGGGTCTTAGTTTTGGGAGTGGATTTTGTTTTCTGACTTTTGTGTTTTAATTTTGTGTGTTTTTTTGTATTGTTTTAATAGGTTGTCTTTGTGTCATTTGTAAGGCTTTTCCTTCTGGGCAGTGCTTTGATGTGTTCTGATTTTGCGTTAGTGGGTGCCGTTTGTGTGTGTTGTATTGGTGAATTTTGTGTTGCTGTGTGTTTTGTTTCTTCGATTTGGATTTTGTTTATATGAGCTTTGCGTTTGGATGGGTGTTCGGAGTCATGTTTTTATATGTTTGGTTTTAGTTTTTGTGTCTGTGGGATGCTCTGGTGAGTTTCGAATGTGTATTTTGGCTTTGTGGGGCTTTGAGATTATCAAAGGGACGCTGACCATTACTCCGTTCCAGTCCGCACCTAGGAAGGGCAGGGGATTAGGCCAATCATCAAATGGTGGGTTTTCGGTGCTCCGAAATACCGGACCCCGGCGCCGCCACGTCGCGCTCTGCACGCTCTGGACCAGCGTGAAACAAATGTGGGTTCCCGAGGGGGCGGCCGCTGGTAGTCACAATCCGGGTCAGAATTCGCAGAGCCCCCCTCGAAGAGAACCCAGGCCCAGCCACGATCTCCTTGCCCACCCAGTCCGTTCTGAGTCAATCTTCCCCTTGAGACTGGCCAGCGCGCTTCGGAATTCTCCGACTCCCGCAGCGTTTGTCCAGGGGCGGCTCCCCGCAGCGAGCAGGTGATGATCCACTTCGGAGGACACGGAATTGACGCCGAGGCCCTAGAGATACCGGACAACTGGCCAGCACGCGTGGAGTCTAGGTGCAGATTGGCGTCAGGATAGTAGAAACCCCCCCCCCATCTTCCTTGCCCGCACGCAGCCCTAGAATCCCAGAAACCCAACTCCGCTCAGCTTTCGGTTTGGAGAGCCCGCCCTGGTTTGCAACCATAGATACATAAATCCACATCCGAACGTACGCATACACAGCTGGAGAGCGAGCGAGAGCGAGCCGGCGCCGCGGTAGCAGCGGCCTGCAAGGCGGAACCTGCACGGGCGCCGCCTCAAGGGAAACCAAACTGTAGTGACCAGAAATGTTCTGAGGACAAAATAAGGCATTCTTTCTGCCCAGGTTGCCAGGACTTCTCCAATCTCAACACACCTTGGTTTGCTTACTACCACAATCAGAGAGAAAAGGAGAGGCAGATTTAGAGGCGGAGAGATATGCCAGCTAAATCGGCAAGGAAATGCCAGGAAGAAAGAAACATCGAATGGGAAAGACAAGATTGTGAGGAAAGACAGATTGGATGCCCACAAAAGAGGCTGAGGCGGAGGCTCCTCCAGTTCCCTGCACGCTCTGGCCTTCTGTGAGAGGGAGAAAGCAGAAACCCAGAACAGACAGAAGGGAACAGAGACGCAGAAGTTGTTGGCCTAGGCACGCTGCGAGCTTCCCTTCAGCTAAGACGCTGCAGTCAAGGGACTGGAAGGCCAACGTTGGCAGACAGAGGCCAAGGTCGGGCTCTTCAACAAGGCCAGGAAACACCAGGGAGATCCAGGGCTAGTGAAGCAGGGAGTGGGGCTCAGTTCCGACCCAGCGTCCCCAATCCCCAGACCCCTAGCCCGAAATCTAGCAAAGATTGGGCCGTCCCAGTAGCGGCTGGGCCTCCTCCCTCTGTGCAAGTCCTAGGAGAAGCCACAGGGGATGTCCCTGACCCTGAGGGTCGGCTCAAGAGCTCGCGCCAAGGGTGGGTGGGAGCCGACGTCCAGGCAGGAGGCAAGGAGGAGGCCCCGCCCTAAAGCTGGGAGCCCAATTCTGCCAGAGCTTGTGTCCAGAGCTGGACTTTCTGCAGGATTCGGGGTTCGCCGCAGCGCGCACGTGGTACTGCATCTTCCGCAGGCTGCGCCCCCAATGTCCAGCCCCGCCCCGCTTCTTTTGCCTGGCCTGGACCGTGTTACGATTGAGGGCAGACGCCGAATCCTGGAGAGTTGGTCTGTTGCGATGTAACTTGGGACTTGCTTAGGGGGAGTGTCGGAATGGACCCGGGCGCCTCTCTACCTCCAACTCTCCGGCGCAGAGCGCAAAAAAAGTGCACAGCGCGGGCCAGTCGCCAGCGCGGGGTTTCAGGTGGCACCCGGAGCAGAAAGGGGCTGAGGATTGGTTTGGGTCAAAACGCCCAATTCGGCTTTTACTGGGGTCTTCTGTGCCTACAGGGCATCGAGTTCCTGCTGCTGGTTCACTGGGGCACCATGTGCCAGGGACTCGCCACCCGGGTTGCTCTGGAATACATGATGGGTCTGTGTTCGGTGGAACACGGTGGGTTATTGCTATTGTTGTTTTACTTTACTGAATTTCTTGATTAATTAAAAGTGTTATGGAGAGAAGCCTCAAAGATCGAAGAGCTGGGTTGTTTGGATGGGTTCATTTTGGCTCAAATCCAGTAATTCAATTCAGTTCCACGACCAAGGCTTTCCTGCGCAAAGGTACACATGGCAGACGTCAAACGTATGCCGTATACATATGCACAGAGAAGGGATTTGAAGGCAACTCTTGAAGAATTTTGAGATAAAATTCACTCTCCTGGAGTTACATTCACAATATATGAATATGAAAACAGGCAGTCAGTTGTATTTAAAATTTGCCCACACGCCCTAGCAATTCACTATTACTTAAGAATCCAAAAGGGGGCATTGAAAAGATTTGCTGGTGCTTTGATTATTTGACATTGAAAATAAGTGTAAATCAGATTTATGTCTATCTATATTTCCTTTTAAATTCAACAATACTATAAAGTGTAAGCAATAAAATCATATTTTTCTAAAGAAAGTTTACCCGTAGGGTGTTTTCTTTCTATCAGTATTTATAAAATTAACTTTTAGCTCTCCTCTCCCCTTTTTCTTCTTTTTCACTGTGTAATGTGAGTTTTAAATATTCATGTGCTAGCCCAGACTTGCATTTATTTAATGTGTTTTAAACTAATAACATTTTAATGTGATATAATTTGATTCCATGAAGTATTGGAAAATAAAGGATCCTACTTCACAAGTGATCTTGGGTGAGGGTGA